AACCATACAAATGATGATAGTGTCATAGATAGTGGAGGCTTTACCGAGATAAACCATACAAATGATGATAGTGTCATAGATAGTGGAGGCTTTACCATGATTAACCATACAAATGATGCTGGTGTCATAGATAGTGGAGGCTTTACCGAGATAAACCATACAAATGATGATAGTGTTATAGATAGTTGAGGCTTTACCGTGATAAACCATACAGATGATGATAGTGCTATAGATAGTGGAGGCTTTACCGTGATTAACCATAAAAATGGTGATAGTGTCATAGATAGTGAAGGCTTTACCGTGATAAACCATACAAATGATAATAGTGTCATAGATAGTGGAGGCTGTCCCGTGATAAACCATGCAAATGATGATAGTGTCAAAGATAGTGGAGGCTGTACCGTGATAGACCATACAAATGATGATAGTGTCATAGATAGTGGAGGCTGTACCGTGATAAATCATACAAATGAGTGTCATAGATAGTGGAGGCTGTACCGTGATAAACCATACAAATGATGATAGTGTCATAGATAGCAGAGGCTGTACCTTGATAAACTATACAAATGATGATAGTGTCATAGATAGTGGAGGCTTTACCGTGATTAACCATAAAAATGGTGATAGTGTCATAGATAGTGAAGGCTTTATCGTGATAAACCATACAAATGATGATAGTGTCATAGATAGCGGAGGCTGTACCTTGATAAACCATACAAATGATGATAGTGTCATAGATAGTGGAGGCTGTACCGTGATAAACCATACAAATGATGATAGTGTCATAGATAGTGGAGGCTGTACCGTGATAAACCATACAAATGATGATAGTGTCATAGATAGTGGAGGCTGTACCTTGATAAACCATACAAATGATGATAGTGTCATAGATAGTTGAGGCTTTACCATGATTAACCATACAAATGATGATAGTGTCATAGATAGTGGAGGCTTTACCGTGATTAACCATACAAATGATGATAGTGTCATAGATAGTGAAGGCTTTACCGTGATAAACCATACAAATGATGATAGTGTCATAGATAGTGGAGGCTTTACCGTGATAAACCATACAAATGATGATAGTGTCATAGATAGTGGAGGCTTTACCGTGATAAACCATACAAATGATGATAGTGTCATAGATAGTGGAGGCTTTACCGTGATAAACCATACAAATGATGATAGTGTCATAGATAGTGGAGGCTTTACCGTGATAAACCATACAAATGATGATAGTGTCATAGATAGTGGAGGCTTTACCGTGATAAACCATACAAATGATGATAGTGTCATAGATAGTGGAGGCTTTACCGTGATAAACCATACAAATGATGATAGTGTCATAGATAGTGGAGGCTTTACCGTGATAAACCATACAAATGATGATAGTGTCATAGATAGTGGAGGCTTTACCGTGATAAACCATACAAATGATGATAGTGTCATAGATAGTGGAGGCTTTACCGTGATAAACCATACAAATGATGATAGTGTCATAGATAGTGGAGGCTTTACCGTGATAAACCATACAAATGATGATAGTGTCATAGATAGTGGAGGCTGTACCTTGATAAACCATACAAATGATGATAGTGTCATAGATAGTGGAGGCTTTACCATGATTAACCATACAAATGATGATAGTGTCATAGATAGTGAAGGCTTTACCGTGATAAACCATACAAATGATGATAGTGTCATAGATAGTGGAGGCTGTACCGTGATAAACCATACAAATGATGATAGTGTCATAGATAGTGGAGGCTTTACCATGATTAACCATACAAATGATGCGGTAATATATCATCAAATATAGAATGGTGTGAGGACTATATAAACAGTGAGTTTAAAGCTTTACACCTATTTACAGATTAAATCCTTGCTTGGAATGGTTACAGGTCGCAAGGGGCCGTACTAACACACACCTTTGTAATGACTCCGATGATGTTGGCCCCTTGGGATGTTACAGCCTCGAATAGTTGTATCTATATCCAATCTACATCGCCCCCTCGAGATTTGTTCGGCTGTCAGAACTCTTCACTTCATTCATTATTTGTCATTCAGGCTGTAATCAAATTTGAAATCTCTCTGCTTCTTCGAAACAAACCATTTAAGTTTTACTGCTGTACAGGAATAAACCAATACAAAATTCTTCTTTCTTTTGTCGCAGTTCAAATGCTAGAGTAATTTGTTTCTGAGAACACACGTAAACTATTTATCAGGTGTAGGAAGTAAGTGTAGCCTAGTGTTGATGGTGAAAACTAATATTTTATTAAGGAGAACCAATAGATATACAACATCAGATAAAAGAAATAGCTGAATGTAAATGTATAAAAATTGGAGAAATCTCCCGTGTTTTGTTAGTTGTGGTTCGAATAATTTGGTTTTATACAATCATTGATTACCATCTACATGATTCGTAACTTGGTTTCAATAACCCAAATGGAATTGATCGGAAAGAAATTGTCTGTCTGGTGTTTACCGGTAACTGTTCTTTCCAATCTGTTTCTGTGTTTTAGAACATTACATTCAGAACTTGTTGACGGGTTTGCAGAGCTTTTTCCTCCGTTGATATTTTTACTGTTCCAGGTTTTGTTGGAGCTATATAGATTATTGCTCATATCCTGTGTGTGGGTGAGTTAGGGAATAGGGATGGGAGATTTAATATCCACTTAAAAGTAGGTTCCCTGAAGTTCAGCGTCCCCCAGTTGATGGATTTCTGAATGGAATTAACTGCAGTAAAACCTGTACAAAGAGGCCACCCAAGGGAAGTCCAAATAGTGGGCTCTTAAAACAGGTGTTCTCTTAATTGAGGTGGTTGAATGAGCAGGTTGGACTGTAACCGAACATGTTGACCATAACATTAGAAAATCAATAGAAGAGATGACCGTGACAACAGGGGTGGACAGCAACATTAATCCAGGGTTTACATGGTTCATCTCACTAGGTGAGCCATTATCAGAACTACATTTAAATTTTAAAACATACATGGAATGTGATGCACTGCCTAGCAACTATCAACAACCAAGTTTGTATACTGATGTCTATAATGGTGAACATCATGGTTAAGTGATCTTATGTCTGCGAAAAAAGGGGGTGAAAATTCCACACAATGTTTATTGTTCATGCATGAAATAATTAACAATTAATATTTAATACCATCCCATTGTGTAGTAAACCCTATTTGACAGGAGAAGCTGGTAGTTGACCATGGGATATGTTCACCCTTGGCTGCAGGCTGATTGCAGTGTAACACAAAGGTCAATCACCAGTACAAAGGGGCAAATTTATTACATTTTTGCCAGTGAAATATCGGATTCTAACAACTTGATAAAACTGATATCTATCACTCTGTGATAAATATCAAAAGTGATATTTTCACAGTGTGAAAATACACTTTTTGGTATTGACCAATCATAACGGTATCTTCTATTCGCTGCATTCAAAAGCAACAATTTTTTGTTCAGATTAAAATGAAGCGATGGTAGAATAAATGGTTGTTATGGTAAATGTTTGGTACACACACTTAAGTATTTACATAAATATACAATTAATAACATTTTTATAAGCAATCATACCAGAAAATAGCAGAAAACGTCGGAATTGCGTTGAGTATCCCATTCAAAATGATGCACAGCCTTGTTGTCAAGCGTGATGTCATTAGAATATGGGGCTGATTATTACGCTTCTGATTCCTGCCGGTTTTTAATGCATTACAGTTTTCATTTTTTATGCTTTAAAAATGTAATAAATAACAAATTTAATGATGTCTTCAGTAATAACAAATATATTTCACTCGTATGACCTAGATTTGGATATTATAGCCACACTCGTGAAATATATTTGTTATTACTGAAGACACCATTAAATATCCTCTATATCTTTGACTAATAGAATCTTCCCCTACCTTAAGGGTGTGACAGAGAAATCTCCAACCCGGGGGGTGATGTTTTTGGTTGTCTAACCCGAGGCTCTGCCGAGGGTTTGACAACCAGAAAAATCACTCAGAGGGTTGGAGATTTCTCTGTTTCACCCTCAAGGTAGGGAATGATTATTTTTCTCCCATCCTATTATATCAGTCACAACTCCACCAACAGTAGTCTGTTTGTAAACGCATATGGGGTATGAATATCGTCATTCATTTTTGATGACATCACAATTACCGGTGAAGCATTTTAATGACATCACAATTGAACACGTGCTTATCCACACAAGGCTATCTCCCCCTAGGGGGTGACAAGCTTATCTTTTCCGGCTAAAATGGGCGACCCATCATTGAAGGGTGGGAGAATCCAATATCTACCATAGGAAAGCATCAATCTTTGACTCAGATATCTACCGTAGGAAGCCATCAATAACTCACTTTTTATTCAGTTTTAGCTGTTTATGTGCAGATTATGTTTTGCACACAGATGTTGAAAAATTTTGAAAATCCTCAATGAATATTGTATACTTTTATTTGTGCTTTTATCTTTAATACACAGCTAGAAGCTTGTTCAGAATCATTTCTTTTAGCAGGGAAAAAAGCCCCTGTTAGTTTGACATCCAGAGGACAGATGATGAACATCAATGTAGTCTGTGTCAATTTAGTGCTTGATTATCAATGATATGAACATCTTTTTGGAAAGTTTTAACATGGCGATCACATATCCGTGCTTATGTTGATGATGTGACCTGGCAATTAAAAGGTATCTTGCAGTCATATGACCATTTATCCACATTTTTCAGAGCCATGTACGGGGAAATTGCAAAATAGCTTTAAATTTGTATTTCTGTTGGTAAATAAGCAGGTTGTTCGATTGACAAAGTGTTGCATATCATTTCTTCTACTACAGGCAGCCTCCATTTAAGGAAGCCTTGGATCTGATCATTTCACCATCTTGACCAAAACAGGTGTAATTAACTATAGTTATCCCACTTGGAGAAATTAAATTACGCCCATTATTGCCCTTTTCGACTTGAGGCGTGTAACCATGGCAACCTCTATTTACTTACAGTGATGAGGCTGACCAAGCCGGCCCTCATGCCGTATCACCCTCTGGTCAGCGATGAGCGGGACTTACAGGGCGAGATATTTGCCAAAATGAGCGACACAGATATTGCCAGACCAGCGGGAGTGCCCTATTTTGGACTAGGTGACCTCTTGACCCTACCCCAAAATTTTGGGTGAGTACATGATTGGTTTTGTATAAGGGGTAACCACTCTGTGTTTTCAGATTAAAAAAAATGTATTTGCAATTTTTGGCTGCCTCAAATTTAGCTGTACTGGCAACATTCAGTAAAACCCATAAAATCCTTATTTGCAGTAAACCAGTACATTGTATAAGTGTTTACAAATCTCCAAGTACAGAGAAAGCTACTCTATTCTAGTTTTCATATTTTCTGACATCCACAATTCTACAAATCAACCACTTTAAGCCAGATAGATATCAATCAAACTGTTGTGGCATCACATCCAGCAAGTTACCACAGTAAATGATTTTACAACTTTGAGTTACAATTTTGTCAATGTATGTTGATGTCATGCTATACTCATAATTTTATAACCTGTGATTCACAGAAACATTTTCCTGGGTGAGACATTTTCCAGCTACATAAGCGTCCATAACGACAGTACCACTATTTGTAAGGATATTGTCTTAAAGGTGAGTGTAGCAATGTCAAATCAGTGTGTGATTGGAGTCGCGGTAGTCTAGTGGTAGGACACCGGGCTCGTGACCAAAGGGTTGCGGGTTCAAGTCACGGCATGGCACTGTATTGTATCTTTGAGCAAGATGCTTTACTCTGCTTGTTCCAGTCTACTCAGCTGTAAATGAGTATGTGGTTGGGCAGTGCTATAATTGTTGAATGCTAGCTGTGAGCGCCGAAATAGCAGCACCGGCTGTATGCTCCCCAAGGAGTTGAGAAAGATATTGACTGGTTGCAAAGGCCCTATAACCACGGATAATAATATGTGAACCGTTTTGAAATGACCTACGAACTAGGTTGTGATAAAGCGGTATATAAGAACCTCAAAATATTATTATATACAGTGAAACCAGAAAGACCAAAATAGCTGTAGGATGCAGTGTAATTCATTTTTGGCATACTGTATCAGTGTATCTATTACACGTTCTGTACCAAATTTGATGGTGCAATCTCCTGTGTGTGTTACAGTCTTTCAGCTAATATGGAAGGAGACTGACTTCCTGTTAGTATAATGTGGAGTTATATAGTTTTCACTTTTTCTTTGTATGTAGGGGCTACTCTCTCTAGTAGAGTAAGAAGTTAGTCCTTTATTATGGTTTATTTTGTACAAGTTTAATTTGTTCAGTTCTCTTTGACAGTTAAAAGTTTATTCAGAGACCATGTGTCCTGGAAGTCCATAAAGTGGTCTGTTAACACAGGTAGTTTCTTCATGGTCAATCTCACAATGATATCACTATAATGGGGAACATTAAAAGTGGTCTGTTAACACAGGTAGTTTCTTCATGGTCAATCTCACAATGATATCACTATAATGGGGAACATTAAAAGTGGTCTGTTAACACAGGTAGTTTCTTCATGGTCAATCTCACAATGATATCACTATAATGGGGAACATTAAAAGTGGTCTGTTAACACAGGTAGTTTCTTCATGGTCAATCTCACAATGATATCACTATAATGGGGAACATTAAAAGTGGTCTGTTAACACAGAATACACCTGCTGTTACCGACTGCATGTATTGTAAGAGGCGACTAAGGTGGGAACCCCCTGCAGATTAGGGGATTTGCTTTTGTGCCCTCAACTTGGGGACACAAAAGCGACCAAAATAAATCTGCAATTGCAATATTTGGGATCTTTATATTTCTTTCTACATCTAAATACCTTATATTTTCTAGCGCCTTGCTTGGCAACACCTCACTTTTGGCTTTAATGTTGAGCATTCGCCCAGGTAAGGAAGGCAATGGGTTCTGTCCCTAGGCCCGGACATACCGAAGTCTTTAAAAATAGTTGTTGTTATTCCCTGCTTAATGTTCAGCATTCAGGGGAATGACAACAACTGGTTCACCCATTAATCAGTATAATGTGACAAGGCGGAATACTGTGCTGGGTGCCTTCGGTATGGTATTTCAGTAAGATAGCACTATAAAGTCGGCATCAGATCAGCGCTATCACAAGGAGGCAAATACACCAACATACCCTGCCTCCTGCACCCACACATGCAGGCATGCATACACTACACATTAATAGGACGTTAAACAAGATGAAACCAACCCACACCAATATTAACACAGGTGGCCTTTTGATAGAATTGCTCTCTCTAATATGTTGGACTGTATATCTAAGCATTTCCTGCCAATTTCAAAATATAAAGCTATACTATCAAATGTAAATAAAGCCATTTCACTTTGTGCCACTTCTTATTCCTATAGTCACAGTTTTTATGAAACCGCAATGGGATTTAGAACAGCCATCCATGCTTCAAATATACAAATAAAATACCAAAGTCTCCTATAATTTGAAATAGATGAATGTAAAATACCACGTTTTTATTGCTCCATTGAATACTGTTTTTCTTAAATCTGTCATATAACATTTTTTCTTGAGTAATGATTAGGAACAAAGACCAAGACTTGAAATGCCTTAAAGAGATTTGTAGTCACATTAAAACCAACTGGGAGGTTTCTGTAGGCAAGTAATGGCTACCTTAGCAGCCCATCTCAAGCCTTTTATCATAAATCTAAAACAAAATATCAATTTCCTTCCATGCTTTGTTTTAAAAGGCTTTTTTCCAGCAGTAGCATTTACTTCAATAGCATTTTGATTGTAGAACCCTTTGATTTTCTGTAGCTTAAATCTTCAAGATGAAAAAAAAATCATGTCTTTTTGATGATCAACTTAATACAAGATTGTAACATGGACTGTTTAAGAAGAGTATTCAAGGATTTTTTATCAGTTAAGTTGGAAATGATTCTTCAAAAGATTGATATACATAACATTATTGTAAACTTCACCCGTTAAATGCTGAGCGTTTTGTGTTGATCAAAATAAAAAAACAACATTTCATTGCATTTAAAAGATTTCTATAGCTACACATTACCATAAACAAAGAACACGTACAGACAATCAGGGAGTTCTAAAAGCAGTCACATCACCTTGCATTACATAACCAATGAGTTCTGTCAACACTAACGCTCAATAAATATAAACAAAAGAGCTCGAATAACCTAAAGAAACTTGTTTCATAATTCACATGAAATGGGAAAGAATTTGTCATTTATGATGAAACAATGACCTAAGGAAAAAGACAAAGAGTTAAAATATATGTCAAGCAGACCTGACCTTTATATATACTTTATTTATATTACAACAATTATGAAACAAGTTATTTCAACTTATATTAATCACGCTTGTTGGCCCGAATGTTAGCGCACGGGGGGTCTTAATGTGGGAGGAAACTGGAGTACCTGGAGAAAACCCTCAGGGTCGGGCAGGTCACCCCATACCTTTTTACGTCCGAATGGGGAATCGAACCCGGACTGCATTGGGGAAAGAAAGGCAAGTGCGCTATCCACTGCACCACCCAACCACCCTGTATCCTAACGAGAGTCAAAAACATACTGTTGAGGGTCTGCTGAAAGCCCTGTAGGTTCAGGCATACTGTTGAGGGTCTGCTGAAAGCCCTGTAGGTTCAGGCATACTGTTGAGGGTCTGCTGAAAGCCCTGTAGGTTCAGGCATACTGTTGAGGGTCTGCTGAAAGCCCTGTAGGTTCAGGCATACTGTTGAGGGTCTGCTGAAAGCCCTGTAGGTTCAGGCATACTGTTGAGGGTCTGCTGAAAGCCCTGTAGGTTCAGGCATACTGTTGAGGGTCTGCTGAAAGCCCTGTAGGTTCAGGCATACTGTTGAGGGTCTGCTGAAAGCCCTGTAGGTTCAGGCATACTGTTGAGGGTCTGCTGAAAGCCCTGTAGGTTCAGGCATACTGTTGAGGGTCTGCTGAAAGCCCTGTAGGTTCAGGCATACTGTTGAGGGTCTGCTGAAAGCCCTGTAGGTTCAGGCATACTGTTGAGGGTCTGCTGAAAGCCCTGTAGGGTCAGGCATATAGTGATATCAATATTGAAACAAAAATATCACTATATGTATATACATTACTGTACAAAATGAAATAAGAACATTTATTCTTTATCATGTAATTAGCATACTAGCCAGGCTCTTGAACCTTTTGTTGATGCGTAGTAAGTAACATGGGAAACGGAATAATGTTTTGAAATATTGAAATTCAGTCGGACCAATCTTTATGACTGGGAATTATTTGTTTGACAGGTATACATATGTAATTGACTGATTGCCTTGTGCTTCAGGTTGACCTCCAGACCAGCTCTCAAAGATTGATGTTGTCTGGGTCAGAGTCGCGTCCCCTGATGGAACTCCCCCCTGACTACAGCATTGACGATGTCATCCATCACGAAGTTAAAGAGCTGGGCACACACATGTATGTAACCATGACAACCAAGTCTGCTTAAAATAACCTTGGACTTGTTACAAATACCCTCTAACATTGGTTTATGTGAATATTATACACAGTATATTTAACTTTTTATTTAGCAATTGGGACAAATTAATAAAGATTTTAATTCTTCAAGAAAACAGTAACATAATCCTGACTTGTTAATTGTAAATTTAGAATTTGAAAATATATGGCTTTTATTTTGCACAGCATATTTTCATGTTTTTGTCGAAAGATATTCATTTATGCAATTTGTGGTTTCTATATTGTCCAGTTGGAAGCAATACCCAATTAGGAATTTGGAATTCACAGGTTCACCATATGGCTGCAAAAATGTTCAAAAATAAGACTGCTTTAGAAATACCCTACACACAGTACCTTTGGAAATCTAACTGACCTTCAGTACATATATAACTGAGATCAGCAGAATTGTGTTACAGTCTTTTTTTCAGAATGACACATTTTCCTCATCGATAAATCATTTCTATTGCCAAAGGTTTTATACAAATTGTATCTATTACTACAAAAATAATTAATAGAAAAACATGAAGTCATCAGGTTGAACACATTTCAAATCTTGAGTGAATTTTAACAACCTGAAAAAAAATCACTCATGGAAATATGGCATCTTCAGGTCAAGGCCACATGAACCAGAGTGAGATGTGCTGAAGGCCAGATTAGTATACAAATACAGACGATGTAATATAGATGAAGGTCAAGGTTATAACTATACAGACACTTGAATCGCCAATTCAGTAGAAATGTTCAGTGACCAGCCGTCTGGAGGGACAGAGATTGCCCAGTGGTCAGTGTGATATTGTTCCTGATTTCAGATTGGTGTGTGCAGTCAGTTACACAACCAGCCAGGGGGAGAAGAACGCTTTTAGAAAATTCTTCAAGTTCCAGGTAAGTGTGGGATTTAAAAAGCAGAAAAATTATCCCATACGTCTGTCTACTTTTAACATTCACTTCATCAAAAGTTCAACTGTAAGTAAAAACCTCATTAAAAAAGGTTCTACTTTTTGTAAAGACATACATAAAAAAGTGTTTACTTTATGTAAGTCACTCTGGAATACGTTGATATTTTAGGTGTTGAAACCCCTGGATGTGAAAACCAAGTTTTATAATGCAGAGGTGAGTAACAAATGCTTCATCATCGTCCTTTCTTCTTAATGATCTAATGCTTTAAGCTTTTTTTGTAATAGTAGTATTACATGACATTTATGTATTACGTGTTTAGGGTAGTTTTTAAACCCCTGTGTTCTTAAAAGTTATATGCTTCTTGTTTCACTCAGACAGATGGGATCAGCAGACTTACTTTTTAGATAAGAACCCTACTGATAGTTAAAATACTAACCTGTTCTGAAAGATGTAACTTTTTTTCTGTTGATCACATTTTCTTCTTCAAAATGGGATCAGATCTGTTAAGTTCAAAGAGGGGCCTAGCATAATATGAGTCCTATAAAGGAGCTGAAACAGGATCCCTCAATGAAACCTTCTCCCCAAGTTTAACAATTGTCATTGCATGGATATTTCATATCTACCAAGGGTACGACAAACTTGCTTTTTAATACAAGTTAAAATATGGTCACCTTTGACAAAGTTTGATAGAAATAAATATTATGTTGAGTAATGCAGGTACTTTAGGCCTCTTGTTTTAATTATCTATACTATATTTATCATTATAAGCATAATTGATATCGTTATTTATTTTCCATTCTGCTATATTCATGACTTGATATACTTGTGTATATTATGTACATCTTATCCTGTTTCCCACATGATCCAGTCATTTTTTGAGGGGGTTGGGGGGAACTTTTTTTTCTGCTCACAATTTTCTCTGTAACCAACCAACTCAATCTTTTTGCAGAAAATAATTCTGGATTGATTATGAAGACTCCATTGTATTTAAAGTGGCTTTAAAATGTCTTTTTAATCATTTGGTTTTATAACTTTCATTATATTAATCATCGATCTATAACAAACACGATGCCATTAATACCCACAATGTATGTATGATATTAATTTTACTTTGATATCTATGTCCCTTCTGTATATCTATGTCCTGTCTGGTGAGCGAGTTAGGTATTATTGACCCTACCAAGAGGAAAGTGATTAGACTTATTTTTGATGAAGAGGTGAGAGTATAAAAAGTATTTTCTTTCATACACCAAACCCTAGTGTTTTGTAGACAGGAAACTTTTAACAAGGCTACTTTAAGCCATTGTTTACATTAATTTCACAAAGTCTACCTATCTGTCTGTAGTTGCAATGTTCCTTTGTCGTCTGGCATGGTGATGCAAGACAGAGAAGCACACACGTACAGATTCCCGTGGCATGAAAGATGCAAGGCTAAAAGCCAGTTTCCCACAACAAGTGAATACACTAATGTACTAAACAAGCGTTAAGGCCAGAGGTCTAAGGTCACAAACTAGCATGATAAAGGAACATTACTACAGTTAAGAAGTTACCTAAAAAGCATAAACCATGCAAGGTCAAAAGTCAATGTCATATGGTAAAACGTTCCAACTTTCAAAATGTTTCAATGTCAAATTTGCAGGCAATAATTATTAGAAGATATATTAAAAAGATAACGCAGATATTAATTTGCAAAAACATCTGAAAGAAACATGAAGACAAGACTTTAGAGGATGAAGGTCAGATTTAAGGTCAGGCAGGTGACCCCATACATTTTCAAATCTGATCAGGGTTTCAAACTCCGGGTAAAGGCAAGTGCCATCCGTGTTGGTTTTCTTTGGGTATTCTACTTTCCTCCCACATTAAGACCCCCTGCATGCTACCATCGGAACCAACGAGGCACGATAAAAACCAAATAAATATTTGTGAATACAAGTGTTATTTACCGCATTTGACCTAACAAGGACACCTGCAGACACAGGCTAATGTTGAGTGGGGACCAGAGATATGAAGGTGACTTTATCCAACTCTCAAATGCAGTTCCCGATTACTGGTAATGAAGCTCAGTATCATTCTGAGAGATTATGATGCTCACTGTCTCACTAGATAATGTTACATGGCAACTTTTTATTTGTTGATTTACTCATAATCTGAGTTGTTTTGGTAGTGGGAGTTGTCTATCTTACAGCATCAATTGAAAAATTTCCAAAAGTAATCAAATCTAAAAAGTCAAATCTGAAGATAAAAATTTAGAATTTTAGGACAAGCTATTTAAGTTGTGTTTTTAAAATCAAAACCCAGAAGTGCCCTCATTAAGTAAAATAACGGTGCATTATATTTGTATGTGGTTGACATTGATTAAAGCTTGCACCGTATATCATTCTCCCATCAATATGATTCGGATGCTTTTATATGTTATATGTCAGCTGTTTGTCTGTATACAGTGATGTTGGCAGAAAATTGATATAATCTTTTCCATGCTGTGTATTTTACCTGTACGTTGGCAGAATTTAATTCTATTTTCCTTGTGAATTAACCATATCTTTTTAATTTCCTGATTTCTATGGAATGTTGTATTCATTCAGGATTATGTCGTAAGTGTTATCAACCCCGATCCTACGTTGTTTTCTCATTTCGCTTTTCTTGTGTTGATGTTAATTTTTGCTTGGTCTCGGATGAGATTGATTTTGAAACCTATTCACATTTGCATGCGTTTTGTTTTATTACGAGATCAGCTTATATGATGCTTTCAGTATCTGATTTGATTAAATGTGAGGTTCTTCTTAAATAAATAAATAACTAAAAAAGATGTCATCCATACTGATCTAATACGTGTATTTGCAGCGACTCATTTCCACATAAACCTTTTTCATTACATCCCTCAGTGTTTAGATTGCACTTAGGTTATATGCCTCGTGGTAGAAAATTGATTTATTTTTTTACAGGTAAATCAGTTTATTTTTTAGTTATTGAATTTCCACCTATGGCCTTTACGTACTGGTAGCTAGAACAGTCCCTGCTGTGCAAAATGGTTTTTCGAGGTACATTATAATCAATGGTCAATTTAGAAAGGTTTTCTAGTCATCAGGAATCCCCTCCCCATAGCCTGAAATTAAAAAGATAAAGTATATACCTCCCCCACCCCCAAAGTTTTGAATGTATTGGTTTGGTTACAGGCATGGAATGCCATTTATTTGATATCTACTTAGTTGTCACTAGTATTTCTATAGTTACAAAATAAATTTTCATATTGATGTACTTTTTTAATAAACATGTATTAAATGAAAAATGAAAAAAAACTTGTATCATATCCTGGTTTGCACTTTTCAATATTCTACTAATAAATTTGTGAATACACTATGTAGTTTGAAGTCTTATTGAATTTGGAGATTTAAGCAGAAAAGGAGATACAGAAAATAATGTCTGTATCCAAGTTTGAGGAAATCTAAGCTTGAAGCTTAGTTCAGTGAGGTTTAAATACAAAAATACAAAAATCATTAAATACTGAAAGAAAATTAAGGTAAATATTAATTACAAATTTAAATTTTACAGGAAAATCAATTTTGATTTTTTTTGAAAAAGTCAAGCAGCAAGGCCACAGAAATGAGACATTCAATGTCAATATCAGATTTTGAAGAAATAATGTGTAGCAAGTTGTTCCAAAAAAGTTGAATTCTTGATGAAAATCCAAAGAAAAAAATGGAAATTTTAAAATAGCTTATAAGATAATGTACAGCGCTTCAAATTCCATTTAGGATAATCATATTCATTGTTTAGGATCTGTGGAATTTGGAACAAGTGAGTAAAATGGAATTAATGTTGAATCCCAGAAGCATCGTACAGTTTACACCAATTGTTTTCCTTATCTGAATATTACAAATTATCCTCCCTAGAAATTCTGCACATAAGTTGACCAGAATTATCTCCCCTACCTCCACCATGAAATACTGTTCTCTGTTGCTTACGAACAATACACATATGTTTCAAAATGTGAACCGATGCTTGAAATCCTTTTTGTACTCCATATATTATACTGAATTCATTGCAAACACTCGATGAAAATATTCAACAGAATTAAGTGACACATTATACTTTGTTTTGTATCACTTGCTGAGTTGAGGAAAACAAAGTTAATTTGATAAAAAGTACTAAAAAAATCCTCTAACACTCTTTGAAAATTTGTTTGGTATTAACAAAGATATAATGTACAAGGAAAAATATGTTTGGGCAATAATCTTTTAGTAAATGACAAAAGAAGTTCCTAAAAGTATTCAGCAGGTATTTCATTTCTTAATTTCAACAAATTTTATTGAACAAGTAATTGCACAATTGGATGAGACAACAGGCTTAGCCTATATATTCAGCAGGTATTAAGAGTTATGGCTTACAAAATACATTCTGCTGGATATTTATCGAGTCATCTCTATATATAAAGCAAATCCGTGAGACTTTAACAGGACAGCAGTCAATAAGTCCACCTGTACCTACAGGGGCGTGGCAAAAGAATTCGGTCACAAATCAATGTTACACCATGTTCAATCTACTTCTTTTCTTTAATCATTTTCTCTAATCTCATTTCTCAAGCAATCTACATGCATATTATTTGACCTTTTTTTAACAAAATTTACATCAGTGAAACTTCATTTCAGTGGTGTCATTTGGACATTCAAATACAAAGGTTAAGAAAACAATGACTAGCCCACATTTTATAAAAATAACACATAATTCTATGTTATCTAAGATTCATCAGTTTGATCTGAATTGTAAATGTTTTGAACACAAACAGCAATTGAAAACTTATTTTGCAAGCTTTCCATCTGTTTCTTTTGTCAAGTAAGAGAGTGGTCAGAGGGACGGTATGATGTTTACCCTTTCTGCCCCTTAGTGGATGTAAGAAATAAATATCAAAAGAGGCATTAACAAACAAGGGGAAAATATGTAGAACACTGTGTAAAATGATTTGTGACCGAATACTTATGGTACATCATTGTATATCTGGCTTAAGTGTCACGCTGTAAACCTTTCCTGCACGCTTCAACTATTTCACCCCCATTATAATCAGAAACTTAGTACTTAGGGAAGCTTTCAACCATAAACATTAACCAGCTTCATCATTTATAACCAATAATATTCAAAATACGCGGTAGACATAACTGTTACATTTGGCATCAGACAGTGAGTCAGGTGACTTAATGAGTTATTTCCAATTAATATTATAGTCTGTTAAGTGAGGTTCAGGAAAATTGTAGCATAACAAATAAATCTATTATTTAGTATCTGTTGCTTCCAAAATAGATAAAATGTAAATTAAGGTTCTGGGAAAACTTCATTTTCTAAATTTAATCATACAGAGTATTTTGACTTTCAACAAAATTCTGGTGTAATATACAAATTAAAAGGAATAACATATGTATCACTCACTGTGTATTTCAACTATTAAAATATTTTCAATAAAATTCATCAGTTTGGAAATATGTGATATGAAAGTTTTACTTTCTACACAAACAATGTGTGTTTTAAACGTGTCACAACGTATCACAACGAACTGGTCCCTTTGTCATAGCTTTGACATAATATTAAAATATTGATCTATTTTATGATTTCAAATTTTTTTGCCTTTGAAAATATCTGTCTTATATTGTTTCCAAACGTGTGTTTATATGGAAATATCTATATTTATCTCAAGGGGGATTTGCATGAAATTATTTTTGATAATGAGTTTATTTATAGAATCCGTTGGTGACTGTTGATACCCGTGTTGTGTTTACAGTCTGATGAAGTTTACCTGGAGGCACAGATCCAGAACATTACCCCTCAGCCCATCTACATGGAACATGTCAGCCTTGATCCGTCCACGCAGTACTGCGCCAAGGAACTCAACAACCTTGATGGCAAGGAATGGTAAGTGTAACATAAGTTTATGAAGGCTATCCTATTTGGCTTACTTTTGTCTAATCGGTCACTTAGCTTGATGCTCCAAAGTTGACCCATTACTAGTACAGTGTATAAAAGAAAAGGATGTCAGGTAAAGGATGTACAGCTGATGGTGTTTGCTATAGAAATGTCAGGCTCTATCTGTCTGACACAGTTCCAACGTTTGGCTCCAGTAGGACTCTGTGACTCAGTTGTCTGCAAACCGTCACTGGATGTTTCAACTCTCTAACCACTACAGCCTGAAGTTGGTGGGTCCAAAGTGGTGTTGAGTCACTGTGTGTTACTGTATGATCTTCATTATCTGTCCTATTTGCCCTGCCAAAGCCAACAAGAAGCATGCCTGTGTATGGCTGCTCATCTCTGGTATCTACAGCTAGGTCCCACTACTTTTAAAGAGTCTCCATACAGAATGTGCTGGGAAACCCGACATCCTACAGGGAACAGCCATGCTTTCCAGCCCTGTTGTCTGCACATCTCAATCAGTTCCTGGTACTTGGAGCTCTTGTGCTGACGTTCTTCCTCACAGCCTTCGTCCCATGGAAGGGGTCAACTCTACAAGAATGATAGACTTCTGCTGGCTTGACCACAGTACTGTGTCAGGCCTAAGGGTAGTGTGAAGGATCGGTGGAATAACCAACTTCTTCCCTAGGTCAACTTGCAATTTCCCATATGATGCTCTAAGTGGCTAACTGTCTGTGTTTTAGTTGACCTTGTTTTTTCCCATGCCTTAACAAACTGGAGTTTCTTTGATGTTGGCTTGTACCTCTCCAGCGTATCTACTAGTTTTTGAAGTACATTGTGGTTAGTCAGGTGAAAATTACAAACATTTTTCCAAGAACATGTAGACAGGGGATTACACTTTTGTTGCTCCCTTCATGATTAAATGATATCCTCAAAAACAATTGTTTGAATTATACAAAATGGCGAAATAAGTGAACACAAACAAATAATTGTTTAGATTAATGTGTGCAGTAGTTGGCTAGTTTAAGATTTATAACACACGATATGTGCATTATTTAGGTTTAATGTCATTCTTTAATTGCATAAAATTCTTTTGAATAAGAGTTGTATAGGACAGCACATAGTATACAATATATATCCTTAGATGTACGATGTTGTGATCATATTTCTATTTCTATGATTGTAGTCCTGACCTCGTGTTTGGAAAGGTGAACTACCTAAACCCTATGGACACACGACAGTACCTGTACTGTCTCTCACCAAAACAGGAAGGAACACAGGAGAGTAAGATCCTCAAGGGAGTCACGAATATAGGCAAACTGGACATTGTCTGGAAAACCAACATGGGGGAGAGGGGTCGTCTCCAAACCAGTCAGCTACAGAGAGTTGTAAGTCATGGAATATAATAAAGGTTCAGGGATCGCCTCAAAATTAAATTTATTGTTAACAAACTGATACATTGCTTTGGATCATATGTAATGGATGAACGTTTTTAATGGCATGTCATATATACCTCCAGCACATGCAGACATATATATATGTGGAGGTATTAACAAAGTGGCATAGGACCAGAAGTTAATACACCTGATAAGGCTGTTACTTCATATGTATTTATTAATTATATAAAATGTTTATCTATGTATTATTTAGTGCCTTAGGTTTGCTTACTCGAACTCCAGTGTATTTATTGTTTTTGAGAACTATTTCAACCTTGGCATATAATTGTCCAACACTTAACATAGAAGGCTGAAAGTTCTGAAATCCTGTTCCCATATTTCATGAAGGTTTATGCTTTGTTTATCCCCAGGCACCTGGTTACGGAGACATTCGGGTGACAGTGGAGTCTGTGCCTGACACTGTACAGCTGGAGGTCACCTTCAATATCGTCTGTCGAATTACAAACTGCTGGTGAGTGAAATACAGCATAATGTAAAGAAGTGGAACAGAAAACAAAACAGATGATCACTTTTACCAAACTACATTGGAAATTTGATGAGATAATCACTACACAACAGCCTGTTTATCTGGTGATACATTGTTGTAGGAAATCTTGTTCAAAGGTTTATACTGCAGAGCATTTTGAGTTCTGGTGATTTTCATCTGAGTACTGCATTTGTATAAAAAGACATACTCGTACACTTTCTCTATGTTCTGGTGATCTGAGTACTGCATTTGTATAAAAAGACATACTCTTACACTGTCTCTATGTTCTTGTGATCTTAGTACTGCATTTGTATTGTATAAAAAGACATACTCGTACACTGTCTCTATGTTCTGGAGATCTGATTACTGCATTTGTATTGTATAAAAAGACATACTCGTACACTGTCTCTATGTTCTGGAGATCTGATTACTGCATTTGTATTGTATAAAAAGACATACTCGTACACTGTCTCTATATTCTGGTGATCTGAGTACTGCATTTGTATTGTATAAAAAGATATACTCGTACACTGTCTCTATGTTCTGGTGATCTGTATAAAAAGACATACTCATACACTGTCTCTATGTTCTGGTGATCTGTATAAAAAGACATACTCGTACACTGTCTCTTTGTTCTGGTGATCTGAGTACTGCATTTGTATAAAAAGACATACTCTTACACTGTCTCTATGTTCTTGTGATCTTAGTACTGCATTTGTATTGTATAAAAAGACATAATCGTACACTGTCTCTATGTTCTGGTGATCTGAGTACTGCATTTGTATAAAAAGACATACTCTTACACTGTCTCTATGTTCTTGTGATCTTAGTACTGCATTTGTATTGTATAAAAAGACATAATCGTACACTGTCTCTATGTTCTGGTGATCTGTATAAAAAGACATACTCATACACTGTCTCTATGTTCTGGTGATCTGTATAAAAAGACATACTCGTACACTGTCTCTATGTTCTGGTGTGGTGAGGTATTGCTCTTGGCATTTATCACAGACCTACCAGTAACTTTCAGAGTTTGAAGAAATCAGTTTACAAAATCAAGTTATTGTAACTTTGTGACAACTGTGAAATTGCTTTAAACCTCTAAACAATGCAGGTATCGGGCGTAATAAAGTTAATGCGACTTGTGTACGGTGAAATAGGTATGGATCTTAAGATTTGCCCAATTAGTATTGATTTGTAATGTTTTGGTCATGTCAGCCATTAATCTATGTGATCGTAATTTAATCTGTGATCTCGAAACACACTGTGTGTGCCGGCTACTTCCACACCGAAGCTCTGTCATCAGCTCTGTCATGGAGGCCTGTGGGCTGCGTAAATGAACAAACGATGAACTAATCGGTCTGGATGCACATTGGTGTTGATATGAAGGTACACAGCTGGTGGGACAGCTGAGGGATGTCCGTGGGGACGCTAACTCAGTTTGTCTAACAGAGCACCACACATTCATCACAGTTTAAGTAAATCTAAACTGATTTATGAATTATCTGGGTTTCCTCAAAGGGTAAAATTGATTGCTACATTGGACGCTGTATGTGTTTCCAGGAGGTGCAGTATTGTCTTTGGTCTTGACAAGTCAGAAACCATTTCTTTAAATAAATTTAATCATTCAACAATCCAAAGGCCAGGGGCCGTTTCTTCAAAGCTCGGTTAGCTTTACTAGTCATTAACACAAATTTTCAATATGTTGTTTTTGAGAAATACCTGAAAATCTATAAATGTTTTTGTAATTCTAGCATACGCATACCTGCTAAATGACCCGCATTCTGCGGGTCACACCCGCAAAATCATGATACGGAAAACCATTTTGGATCACTTAATTTGTCTGCTGGTTGAGATCTGAATTTCAATGATTTCGAAAATATATACAAGATAACATATTCGTTTTAATTCAATGTCAAGCTAATCAGACTTTGAGCATCCGGGCCATGAAATATTTGCTGCATTAGAAAATGTTTGTTGGGTATAAATGTTGAAAGTTTGATGATAAATTAGATTGTGCTGACTGAATTAGTACTTGATGTTATTAAATAAGTTTGAATTAATCAATAATCAGGAAAATTAAATAAAAACACCTGGCCTCGTATTGATAAAAGTGTTCTCATGCTCAAACTTAGTTTTATGCTCAAATCAACTTTCTTAAAGCAGACAGACATCTTCCAGTGTTCCAAAACAAAATAACAAAATATTGTGAATTTCATGTTTTAGTTAAGTACAAGAAAATGAAAAAAAAAACGGTTATGGATTTTAAAAATTTCAACTTGTGAGTCTCCACTTCAAGAAGAACTATTTTCAAAGATATGACACTAAATTCTTGGGGAATTTTACCCCCAATCTCTTAAATAGATTATTACTTCACTTTATCTGTAGCCAGTTTTCTCGTGGTAAATTTAACAGATATATTCTCTGGGGTGGCTATGAGTCTAGTCGCTTCTCTGGATGCCTCCAGAGTCTAGTGACTTCTCTTGCCTTCTTCGGAGTCTAGCGTTTCCAATTCATAGTCTTTTATAGCTTCTCCATGGATATTAGGAGTCTAGTCGCTTCTCTGGTACTTTCAGAGTCTAGCTGCTTCTCTTGTTTTATTTGGAATCTAGCTCGCGCTCTTTATCAAGCTTCTCTGTAACTTCGCAGAGTCTATAGCTTCCGTTAAATCTTTATCAAGCCTCTCTGTGACTTCGCAGAGTCTAGCTTCCGTTAAAATATTTTGAGAATAATTTGTTACTATTAGTAGGTTTGTTATAGAGTGAGTAGCCCCTGATACGCCAAATGTTTACAGTAGGTTTTAGTACTTGTTCTTTGCTTGCACATTCATATCTGTGTCTTAACTCAAGTAATAAACAGGTTAACTCTTTCATTGTGTGAAGTTATGTATAAAGCAACCTTTAAAAGTCACATCCATCTTTTTTTGGAAAACAAATAATAAGTGGGGATTGAAAGGTTGCATTTGATTACGAGTCAATAAAGGCTATTCTATTATAAGAGATTCACTCAATATTCATTTTACGGTGAGCTGATTTTGTGTAATAGGAAATCTTTCATGGGGTCTGCTGTTAATAAAAGAAAAGGTATTTGTGTTTTACATTGATTGTTGGTTGGTGTGGTATATTAAGAATGAATTTCACTGTTGTATTTAAGAAATCTAAAGTCAACCTAATCAAACCTGGGTTGATGGTGGGGCTCAGACAGTTGAAGAGTCCTGCCCTGTTACAATACTTAAAAAAAATCGAAAGAAATTCACAAATGTTTGAGTGAATTTTAATTGAATACAAGATTAACTCCTTGCGGAATAATGAGATACAAGTAAGTTACAGTAGGTGGAAGGAGTCTAAATTTGTATTACATGTAAATGTCACTAACACAGTCACTAACTGTTCGCCCCTGTTTCAGTGAGCGGACTATGGACCTGACGTTGGTACTACAGAACAATTCGTCCTCTGGCTTGGTCTGGTGCGGGATCTCTGGACGACAGCTGGGGAAACTCCCACAGAATGAGCACATGGACCTCAACCTGACTCTGATAGCTACTATTCCAGGGCTACATGTGAGGCCAAACAAACTGTCTTCCCTAAAACATTAGCAAGTCCCATGGTTCCATATAAGGCATTCAATGGATTTTTTTAAAGGAATAATGTCTAAGATGACAGTGTCTCAGCTTTCCTTTGTTACATGCCCAAACAGGATATTACTGGGATTGAAATATTGGCTCGTTTATATAGGGTCTGGTTTATGTAGGGTATCAATATTTGAATATGTATGTTAAGTTGTTATATACTTTAATGTTGATGTAAGAGGAGAAATTAAGAAAAAATTAAATTTTAGTGTTGAATTATTTCTTTGCAATGAAAAGTCGAACAGGGGATGTATACTTGTACAGGTCTAGAGTACTTGTGTGGCCACAGCTAATGGAGGATAGGGAGAGTCTAAAGGAATCAAGATGTGTTTATAATGATTTTTAATCAATTTATATTTCAACATCAGTAAAACAGCACCAGTATCCAAAGCAGATAAGGTCATGATTTTGCAAGGTTGACATTTAAAGAAAGAAAGTACTGAATAACAACCTATAACAGCCAGTATATATAACAATACAGAAAAGACAATGGCTAATTAGCCAGGTTATTATACGACTTCCGTGTAGCTCATGTTGTTTGTCTAGGCTCTCACAGTTGTCTCCCTTACTTTGCATCATTTTCTGTCATTTGACATGGGTTCAGTACTTACAAGTGTGTCAGTGTTCTGAAGAAGCCTTAAACAAGGGTGAAACTGTTTGACACATCCAAAAAAAGTGAAACCCTACCCCTTGATCTGTTAGGAATGATATTGATGATGTTAATGACTTGACAAGCTCAATTTATATGAAACATTGCTGGAGATACAGAGCATAGACTTAACTACAATGTACATGATAAACATTTTGTTGAGAAGTTGATTGCATTAAAGGTCACTGGCTGACAGTGGTTTTACATGTAAGTCAAGCTAAGAAGTGTTTTTTTGCAAATTTTTCATTTACTAAGTACTTTATAAATTATTTACTTTCATACATCACAAATATTATTTTCCAAGACACAAAAATAAATCACTTATGAAAAAGAAAAGTATATTCTGTTGCAATTGGTTTAATGTAAGGGTATTTTTTTCATGGCAGAAAGACTTGACAGGGAGAAATATCTATAATTGTACACTTTGTTATTTGTAGACAATTTCTGGGCTGAGGTTGACAGACAACTTCCTGAAAAGAACTTATGAACATGATGAGCTATCACAAGTTTTTGTGTACAACGACTGTAATCAATGAAATTTCCAGTCCATCACAGATGTTCTACAAGGCAAGCCTGTAGCCATTTCGGCATGGATGTTCTATACAGCAGGCCTGTGACCAGTGGTTTCTGGATGTGGGTCCTCACAGGAACTGACCAATGCATATACAAAAATATGTGACAAGCTTCAGAATCTTTATCCAGTAAACATAATGATCAGTGTGTAGGGCCTTGCAGAAGTTCCAGTTATTTTGTGGCCATCGTTATTGACTGGCTGGAATGGAATGTTTACAGACAAAATAATGTTATGTAGATTTGGTCACGATTGAGATGATGATTAAGTTACTTGTGATTAATGCTACCTGTAGCCTTGTGACATTGATCTAGTCACATGTTACCAAGACATTTACTGTGTTACCCGTTGCCTGATAAACACGGCACATAGTTATCTTAAACCTCCAATATATAACCTACACAAAATGGAAGGGAAATTCATAAATTTGTAGATTGCTCATTAATTTATTAATCACTTAAATCATGGTGTACATGAACATATGTTATGCTAAAACATTGATGTAATCCTGTACAATTCAATATGTATATTAATAGAAAGTGTAATCATTATTGTTGTAAATTCTTTATAAAAAATGTACATTTAAGCACATTCATGTACATGTATTTGTGAATAACTGTGTATGAAACTATAACTATGATTTTCATATGTTTGTGCTTGGGTGAGTAAAAGAGGTTGATAACATTTCATTAAAGTGTTGTATAAGTGTGGCAATGTGTTGATATATATACACTTATTGGAAGTATGAACGTGTGTGAGGGACCAATAGTTTTGTGTTTAAATGCTTTCATAATTTAGCACTTTGAAGTAAGTGCAAAAAGTGCTAAAAAATACTGCTACAATAATCATGTTTACCATATTTGCATTGTGGAAACTGTGTATGTATAGTATGTCCACACATGCGTTATCTAATTTTCCCCAACGGTTACCTCTTCGTTACGCAGTCAGTGGTCATTGTTCATTTGTTGCCAAATCTACGGTTAAAAAATGGATTTCTTTTGTATTAGTTTCATGGAACAACCTGTATTTAGAGATCACCTTCAGGAAGTCCACAAAGTGGTCTCTTAATACAGGTTCAGGTATCTCTAAAAATAACTAATCAGAAGTTTTCAAAGTGGTCTTGTAATAGAGTTGATCTCTAGAGTAGGTTTGACTGTAAACACCTGGTATCCTAGTATAACACCTGGTACCCTAGTATAACACCTGGTAACCTAGCATAACACCTGGTACCCTAGTATAACACCTGGTACCCTAGTTTAACACCTGGTTCCCTAGTATAACACCTGGTACCTTAGTATAACACCTGGTAACCTAGTATAACACCTGGTACCCTATTAAAACACCTGGTACACTAGTATAACACCTGGTACCCTAGTATAACACCTGGTTCCCTAGTATAACACCTGGTACCCTAGTATAACACCTGGTACCTTACTATAACACCTGGTTCCCTAGTATAACACCTGGTACCTTAGTATAACACCTGGTACCCTAGTATAACACCTGGTACCCTAATATTACACCTGGTACCTTAGTATAACACCTGGTTCCCTAGTATAACACCTGGTACCTTAGTATAACACCTGGTACCTTAGTATAATACCTGGTACCTTAGTATAATACCTGGTTCCCTAGTATAACACCTGGTACCTTAGTATAACAAATGTTATGTGTTCTTTGTCTTCCACATAATACTCATACTTTACATTTCATACAGCTGAGTGCATTAATCCAGTTACTGCTAGTCAGTTGTCTAAATATACAGCCAGTGGGACGGATTGAACATTTCTTACAAAAAACATCACTGTAATGAATCTGTCTCGCAGTCCAGCCACTTTTGGTGGGAAGGAATGTGGTTTGATTATGAAGGCCAAAATGTAGACAGGTTAAGAATTGGCTATGTGAATGATTTTGTGCAATAGGTACAATTATATTGTAGATTCCATAGCAAGACATTCTTAATGTATACAAGGAAGGGACATTTCTAATATACCATCATGTCAGAATCGTACTGTGTCCTTCCGTATGCTTGTGTCTAACTGGAACAAGGACGTAAATCAATCAGAAGCTTACTGTATTGGGTTACAATACATGGACAGGTCCTTGATTGGAACTAGTTACATAACACTCCAAGTATCATACCCCGGAAGGTCAAAGGTCAAGTTAGTCCAGACTACAACTTCTGATAACAACTAGATTTTGATGTGAAACTTTTGTCACAGGTATGAGTATCATTACTTGAAAAGTCATGTAACACTCTCGTGCTTGTTTCCAAAAGGTCAAGGTCATGCAAACGGCCTAAGGTCAAGTCTTTAAATTTCGTCAAATCATCTTCTGATCATCTTCAGTTTGGCTATTGAACTCTGTGCCATAACATTCCCATATCTGTGCCCAAAAAACAAGGTCATAAGTTGATAGTTTGTACCACTATGATAATCAGCATGGACAGATACTGCCAGTCAGTACCACCTACTCTTACTGTCTAGATATACACGGTCAGTGACAGAAACAGTTGTTGTTATCTGTCACTTGATATAAAGTCACTATTACCAAAATGATATATCTACCAAATTTTGTTCCAAACTCAGACAATAATAATTATTAACTTGGAACAGATTGATGTGAAATGCTTTATTTGATCCTAAATGACGTGTATTCAAGTCACTTGTAGATAAACACAATAAACAAAGTTAAGTATGCATATGTTTGTTTTTGTTTATTGACAATTAAGGTATAGGTACTACTGCACCTTTTATCCTAGCAAAGAATAGTTCCACTTCTGAAGTCTTCAGAGCATTTTATTTAACCTTGGAGCATTGATTCATCCATTCGTTCTATTGAAGATAAAGCAACTTACTACCCATGGCAAGGTATTTAACTTTCATTTCCTGGATAGCAATTAGCAGATTACAAAATGTTTAACCAACTCCTAGCAGGTTTATCTAATGAGTTGGGAGTGAGGAAACCTATAGTGGTTGTGGGAGAAAAGAATACTCCAAATATATTATTGGTCTTTTAAAGTATAGCAGTTTCTCTCCAAATGCCATTTTGTTGGGATTTTAGCTCACCTGGCCTGAAGGTGACTACTTCTGAATAATCATGCGGCCCAGAATGTTGATATTTAGCCAGTAGCATGCTTGGATGAAGGGCTATCAAGCTTTTTTCATTTGAATGACCTTGATCCACTTTAAAGATCACATTTGGTCAAATATGTATAAACATTTAAATGACCTAATTTCAATAAACAAAAGGATAGGGTGGTGATATTTTGCAATTTGCATCCTGAGATGAAAGGCTATCAAATTTGTCCAACATAATGACCTTGTTCGACTTTCAAGGTCACAGGGTAAAAAGTTTTTTTAAATCTTTGAGCAGGTTTTTTTTAATGACTTTTAATCATAAATACTAATATATTGCCTTTAGCTTTATTTTAAATCACTTTTGAAGTTACAAGTGTGAGATTTATACCAGGTGAGTGATGCAGGCCCATTGGGCCTCTTGTTCTTATGTCCGGAAGCCTCAGACATATATACTGTGGTGAATGAAGAGTGGTTTTCTATGCTTCAGGAATCATTCAATCTGCCTGTGAATTTCTTAAAGAACAGTGTATTTATCCCAGTTTGAAACTTCTATAGGAAATCTGGATAAATACTGATATTTTGCCTTTAGCTTTATTTTAAATCACTTTTGAGGTTTCAAGTGTGAGATTTATACCAGGTGAGTGATGCAGGCCCATTGGGCCTCTTGTTCTTTTGTCCGGAAGCCTCAGACATATATACTGTGGTGAATGAAGAGTGGTTTTCTATGCTTCAGGAATCATTCAATCTGCCTGTGAATTTCTTAAAGAACAGTGTATTAATCCCAGTTTGAAACTTCTATAGGAAATCTGGAAACCATCCCAGATTGATATCTGAATCTATCTCCATAGATCTACATTAATCCTCACAGTTTTAACAAGAAGCCAAGTATATTTCTTCTTTTTTGAAAACAAAATTGATTTTATTTATTCATTGACACCCAGCCACTGACAGAAAGTCATGTAATACCACAAAAGAGATGTGAAGACAGAAGAGATGTGAAGGCAGAAGAGATGTGAAGACAGAAGAGATGTGAAGGCAGAAGAGATGTGAAGGCAGAAGAGATGTGAAGACAGAAGAGATGTGAAGACAGAAGAGATGTTAAGGCAGAAGAGATGTGAAGACAGAAGAGATGTGAAGGCAGATGTGAAGGCAGAAGAGATGTGAAGACAGAAGAGATGTGAAGGCAGAAGAGATGTGAAGGCAGAAGAGTTGTGAAGGCAGAAGAGATGTGAAGACAGAAGAGATGTGAAGACAGAAGAGATGTGAAGGCAAAAGAGATGTGAAGACAGAAGAGATGTGAAGACAGAAGAGATGTGAAGGCAGAAGAGATGTGAAGACAGAAGCAAACAAACATCTGAACACAATATCCTTATGGCATTATACTGTTGAAAGTATGAATAAAACCTAAACAAAGCCTTTCTGTTGTTTTAATTGTGGAGGTTAATGGCTTTACAACAGACAACTTATATGTCCACACATGACTTTAAAGTCCCTCCAGGGTCAGGGTCATTATAAAGTGCTTACACACAGAAACATACCTAAACTCATCAAGCATCCGATAAAATCAGACTTTTCTGTTCGTGTATATACTTGTTCTAAATCATATTGGCCTCATAAGGGCTATGAATGTCATAACTGTTGGATACCATGATTTTCCCTGAAAGACACTATTCTGTTAATGAAACAAGCATACACGATGTTTACACTTATCTGAATCAATGAATTTTTATAAATTGATTGAATTTTCTGTGAGATGATTTTTTTTCGAAAATTGTAAACAAACATCATAGTTCCATTTATTCAATTGTCGTTCACAGACACCAGGCCTAACACAAATCTTTTAATATACCTTCTCCAGTTGACAATGAAAGCCGTCAGAGTTGCTTAGAGAGAAACCATCAAAGCGTAAAATATTTGGAACTAAACATTGAAAACCATGCTTTGAATACATTTATTTGGGAGGTTGTGCCCTGGCAATGATTTTAGGTAGGCCATTTACTACAGCTTCTTATCCACATATTGAAATTCATCATCAGGTAGATATAAGACATTGAATAGGATCCCGACAATGAAATGCAACCAGGGATACAGGTCTTTTCAGACTTTAGATTCTCAAACGTTTCGGGAGTAAATATTTTCGGATTGCCGTCTTAAAAAGTTACGATATACAATAAATATCAGCTTATTAAATGTTACTTCTTTTTTTTATCAAATGAACCTGTTAGATACCAACATTTTCGGTCTTCACATATCAAAGCGCCAACCTACCCAAGCACACATAAACAAGGTGAATGTCAATGTACTACTGAAGACATGTGTCAGTCAGATTGTGTAATATGGACAGCACCTGTCAAACATTGTCAATGTAACATTAATGGCACGACGAAGACATGTCCAAACGGATACATTGTAGTTCTTGTCCTAGGTCTTCAGGTTAACAGTCCAAACGTATACATTGTAGTTCCCGTCCTAGGCCTTCAGATTAATTCATTGTAGTTCTTGTCCTAGGCCCTCAGATTAACAGTCCAAACGGATACATTGTAGTTCTTGTTCTAAGTCCTCAGATTCCGAGTATTACCGGTTGATTAGCTAGTTTCTGTGTCGAGCGCATGGTTAGTAAAAACAAGTTAGGCCTCGATACATACACTGAAATCTCAATATAATGACCACCGTTTCTAAATGTCACCACCATCGTATGTAAAGGTTCTTTTTCTTGTAAATAATTTTGTATGCTTCTCTTTCGACCTATCGCCAAACCAATTGATAACGCCAACATTTCGTCGGACAAAAAATGGCAGTATAAAAAGGTTTTCGTGCATTTACTGAAAACTAAACCACAATTGTCCATGCTAGGGTATACTCTAATCAGAAAATTACATGATGTTTTATGAATTCTATGGGAAACGAATCTGAATTAGGTCGAAATATGCCCTTCTTTTGACGTTTGAAGAAGTATCTAACGACACTGTCTATCGCAAGATGAATGAAATCAAGATACAGCTAGACATAGTTTTTCAAGCCGCAAACCGTCGTGTTCAGACAACTAAGACGGCCGTTATTGACAAGTAACCGTTCGGACAGGTTTTAATGTACACCATGCTCGAGTACAAACTCAGAGTATATTATAGTTATTTACCTGTATATTTATAGCCATCTCGTCCATCAAACATCCCATATATACACTGCTAGGTACGTTTATAAACCTCGCCCCGCGGCCGTGTCATCTATAACGAGGTCAGCGGAACTCGGTTGACAGATATATACATGTCTTGTTGGGAAAACTTGTAATTTAGAGGAAATACGTTATTAATGAAAAGAAGTTTTTACCTATTGAATTGTTAAATTATTTACGTTGTATGAAAGTTGACGTATAAAAGATAAAAACAAAATAAAACAATTCCATAAACATCCGCGATTGCTGTTTGGGACGAGTCGAAGGTATATATAGGCGGGCTTCTGTAACAGGGAAATTGTGTACGCATGCGCACGAAGAATTAAGAAATTTCGGAGGTTCGTATACATAGGAAATTTCGACGAACACAGCTTCGGATCTTGACAATGGTAAGAATTAAATATTCTCTTCGTTGATGTTGATGAATACCTCACCAGAACTTTAGGAAGATAACGGTGTTTTTTTTTATACAATATTGCAAATTCATGTCATATCGTACTGCTCAGAGTTAAGACAGTTTAGGGGCGCCTAAATGCGCACATACATTGCAAAAGGTGTGTGTCGATCATGTGTTTGTGAGTTAAGTTTTAATTTTCACAGATGCATGCATGTTAAACATTGTAAACAAGAAAACCTTCGGTTTCATATAGACTGAACCTGTAGTTTCAATTGGTATGCGGTCAGACAGACATGATGTGGGGGATAAAACCGGAAAGTTTTAACGAATGTATCGGATTATCAACAAATTACTCATAGTCGTCAAAACAAATCAGAATTTACGCCTGACTGCTGACCTGCTGCAGGATTTGTAATGTTTTGTATTTCATTGCCTTAGGGGTTCTAAAATGATTAATGATGGTGTATTAATGTAGTAAGGATGACTAAATATCTAACTCGCCACAATTACTGTAAGTATAGAAGTGTGTATGCGCATGTTTATAGACAATCTTGTGGCAAAAAGGATATGCACCACACTTTCAAGTGTTGACTTAAACAAACGGTACGATAACTGTTTGGAAGGTTTGTGATGTGAAACACACTTTGTACGGTACATGTATTTAGTATTAAAAACGTGATCTACATGTGTGCTGTAGTATTGGTAAACTTGCCTATCTCAGAGGAGTGTTTGTGAGGGTGCTACCTAGGAATGGGCTATTGTATGGAGAAGCAGATGTGTCAACAAAGTGATACTAAACAATGTGCAGATCAAACTTTGGTCAGCAGTAGATCTATGTTTGCTTTAGTCGCGCATGGTTGTCTCAAAGCTTCGCTGCTATTGCTGTAAAGAATCCATGTAACAATACCCTGGCGAGGACATCGCCTCGTGCAGATAGTAGCGTTATTGCTAATCAATTGTCACATATGCTTAGCAATATTCTTCGAGAGCTTCACCGGATATCTTTAGATACCCGCCTTAGGGGCTCTGCAATTATGCTTGTTGTTCTTCTTGATCCTAAGCGCCTTTTTGCTCTCACCTTTAGATATTAATATATAGTCAACTGTGATGGGTTCCCCAGTTGACTGCATACATACATTTAAAACAGAAGGTTGCTGATTCAGGACCATTTGAAATGCTCAACACATTTACTCATTTTCTCTCTTTGTGTATATAGTGTCCGCCCTTATTTCTTTATCCTAACTGGGCGTCTTCCTTTCTTAAATTTTGGTCTGGAGAAGCTATTGCGATATAACTTGTACCTTGCTGCTGCCTCTGCTTCTGCTGTAAGCTTAGTCACAAATTCTCATTTATCTTTCCTGAAACTGTTTCTAAATCTCATATGAGCTTAAGTTGCGTTCAGGCCCCAGTTTCACGAAGGTTCCTTAAGTTAAGAAGCTCCTTATCTTGGATATCTCCATAGGAAAAGCATTACGCATTTTAAGTTAAGGAGCTCCTTACCTTAAGGAGCGTTCATGAAATTGGGGCCTGGAGTTCGAACTGGTTTTTTTCTACTTTTATTAGTGTCGGGTGAGAATCTTGATGCCTTACAACATGCTTTCATTCATTGTTCTTTTCTAAGGGTTTTATGAAACAGTTTCTGAGCTGATGTCTTTTGTTGGCCTGCATTGCTACATTAAAGCACGTCCGTTTTTCGAGGTTCTTTTCAGATGTTTTTACATCTTCAGTTTCACTTTAACCACAGCAGGTGGTGATCTGCGGCTGTATCCGCCCTTCTCGCCACCTTTACATCTTAAAGCGTTCTCCTGTACCCACTGGAGATTCAAACATGCTGTATTTGGTTTTTCATCTACATGTAAGGAAGTTCTCTTGACAACCTTGATTATGTCGGGATAAGATTCCACCGATGGCAAGGTGGTAGTTGGAACACTACCTGGCGAAAGGTTCATATCTTCTCATCACTAGTTAATAACGATGTTGTCATTTGCCACAACGATTCCTGCACTCACTCCCTCCCATCCTATGTAGGTCTTCCTTCATAGCATGATTCAATCCCTATGAATAAGGCTTATGATCTTTAATGTACCTAAATTCTATAATGAAAATGTCAAACGCCTTCGCCATACTTCCCTCCACCTTGCTTTTGCTGTTCTAAGCATATCAACGTCACACGCCTTCATTTTATTGACGATGGTCTGCGCATTCTATGTTCTGATTTTGTTTATGTTTATTGTCATTTCTTTAAGATGTACAACGCATTGTATCAAATATATTTCAAGAAACAGCAATCAAGGTCTCTTCAAAAGTTTGAAAGGGATGTATTGATGGTTTAGATATCTATAATTGACGTTAACAAAACGTCGAGAGAAACATTTTTGGTCTACGTTTGTAAATATTTGCAGAATAACTTCATGAAAATCAAAGTATGTACAAATTATTAGATTTATTAAATGTCAACCATATATATCAGATATAGTATACATTGTATATGGCTAAATGTATCAAAATGTCAATAAGGGTTTCCGAGTTTTTATTTATACTTCAGACACTCGCTCCAGGCCCTTGTGTATCTTATTTTTATATGTGAAATGTTAAAATTGCACGGCTTCAAGGTACTATAGAACCTGACATTTAATCAAACAGGCGCTGATAGTCGAGGTCCTTGTGATACTGACGTGCATCCTACCGCAGCCGTCCCGAGGATTCGGGATGGGCCCTCCCCTGGGTGCTTGTGTGGATATGTGGCCAAAGGATCATGGTGCTGACGCCCAGACGTCTGATCCGCCCTACACTATCACCGTCAGTAAGAACACGTACTCCCCAGGGGAAACCCTAACAGGTATGTTGTAATGAAAATACCCTTGGTAATCACTCACATTTAAATTAGATTTATCATCGATAAAAGGGATTTTTTATGGGTAAATATCATCATTAGTAGAAACTCGTGGGTAAATTCTTAGGATACGTCCCGAATGAAAGATTTACACGTAAAACATTATTAGCAGTATTGAATCTAGGTAAGGATTATAATTTTACAACTAAATATAATTTGGTTGTCATCAAACTTAACCTTTTATAAAGTAAGCAGCTTGTGTACAAGATGTCTCGTGAATCCTCGGCCGATTTAGTTTATATTTACACCACAAAATTGTATATTATGGTAACATTTATTCGGTCAAGGTCAACGGGTCAAAGGTCAAACTTAACCGCTTTTGAGGGGATAGGGTGTATCACTGACCTTTGGTTTTATCTGATTTTTGTATTGAAAACATTTCTTATGATTTATACGATGTTTGTCCTGCTTAATTACGAAACCTATTATAGGCAATGTAAATTGAACTAACCGATAATGACAGTAATATAGTATATATTACTTATGGTAAACCATGGCGTTACACTCCGAACAAAAACGCGATTTCTTGATCGGAATACATAAATCGATTGTAGATACGATTGTGTGATGATGTATCCACATTCCCATTTTTTTAGGTCACCTGAGACAAAGTCTCAAGTGACCTATTGCGATCGCCTTTTGTCCGGCGTCGTCCGTCGTTCGTCGTGCGTCCGTAAACAATTTACATTTTCGACTTCTTCTCCAAAACCCCTGAACCAATTTCAATGAAATTTTGCAGAAACCTTTTATGGCCAAAGGTCAACAAAAAATGTGGCCGGTTTGGTCCCCAGCCCCCAGGGCCCTGAGGGGCGGGTCAAGAAAGGGTGAAATTGACTAAAATTTCAAAAATCTTCTTCTCAAGACCCAGATATGGTAGAATCAAATACTCTTCATAGATGGAAGGGTCTTAAGGTGCCCTACCGAAATTGTGAATTTTATGACCCTGGGGTATCATGTTTGCCCCTGGGGAGGGGGTAAACTTTACTATAGTTTATATAGGGAAATCACATTTTGGACCAACATTTGTTTAATTTCCATTGGAAGTAATTCAATTTAGGTTAGCATTATCAGTATTGGGTAGCAGTTTGATGGTGTGCACATATGAGCCCTGACTGAACCCCCGGGGCTGATGGGTGGGCCAAAAGGGGTCGAAAAGACTGAAATTTCAAAAATCTTCTTCTCAAGACCAAGATATGGTAGAATCAAATACTCTTCATAGATGCAAGGGTCTTAAGGTCCTTTACCAAAATTGTGAATTTCATGATCCTAAGGTCTCACGTTTACCCCTGGGGAGGGGGTAAACTTTACTATAGTTTATATAGGGAAATCACATTTTGGACCAACATTTGTTTAATTTCAATTGGAAGTAATTCAATTTGGGTTAGCATTATCAGTATTGAATTGCAGTTTGATGGTCTGCACATATGAGCCCTGACTGAACCCCCGGGGCTGATTGGTGGGGCCAAAAAGGGTCGAATAGACTGAAATTTCAAAAATCTTCTTCTCAAGACCAAGATATGGTAGAATCAAATACTCTTCATAGATGGAAGGGTCTAAAGGTCCTTTACCAAAATTGTGAATTTCATTATCCTAAGGTCTCACGTTTACCCCTGGGGAGGGGGTAAACTTTACTATAGTTTATATAGGGAAATCACATTTTGGACCAACATTTGTTTAATTTCAATTGGAAGTAATTCAATTCGGGTTAGCATTATCAGTATTGAATTGCAGTTTGATGGTCTGCACATATGAGCCCTGACTGAACCCCCGGGGCTGATGGGTGGGGCCAAAAAAGGTTTAATTCTCAAAGACCCAGATATGGTGGAATCAAACACTCTTCATAGATGGAAGGGTATTAAGGTTTATGACCCTAGGGTCTCACGTTTCCCCCTGGGGAAAGGAAGAGGGGGGAGGGCAAAATTTATTTTGGTTTATAATGGCAAATGATACTTTGAATATTACATGTTAATAACTTGATTGGAATTATAACCCTGAGTTGACAGTTTGATACTATAAACATTTTGAGCCAGCCCTACCTCCAAGGGCTGTAGCGTTGGGCCCAAAGGAGTCAGTGTGCTAAAATTTCTTCATTTTCCTTGTTTAGAATCAGAGGTGCTAGTTTCAAATACTTTTTAGTCTTAAATCTGTATGCTAGATATTGAAGAAGGTGGTTTTATTGTTTTTTGTCACTTTGAATAATATTTCTGTTCGTGTTAAAATAAAATCAACTCTCTGTATAAATATATCAGGTGACCGTTAAGGCCCATGGGCCTCTTGTTATGGAGAAACGTTGGGTGAAGAGAGTAACTGTGGTGGTCATCTTACAGACCAATATATCACAAGTGTTGGATTGACCTTATGCAAATCTTTATGAAAACGAACTTCTCCTCGTACTTTTTCAAGGGTCTCCGTGTAAAGCATTCCCATGATAATATTTTACCCTAGTTTTATCGTTTTTGAGTTCGAACTAAGGTTTTGTTTACGCTACGGCATCCTCTTGCTACTTTTTGACGTACACAACTCTATCATTTATAAACCTTTTTTATCATGTGTTTACTTTATCGCCATCTGGTTTAAATCTTGCAGTCGTGGTGAACACAACTATAAACAAAGAAATCCAGTTTTTCGAAGGTCTGTTGGTACAGGCGAGGCGAGCCAACTGTTTTCACCAACAGTATGAAGAGGCGGTCGGATCGTTTGGCCTACAAGCAGGGGAGACCTTCCTTGGTCTACTTGACTGCCAAGGAGGACGAAATGTATGTACATTGTACATAGCGGACGAAATAATATTTACATGCGTGGGAACACATCTGTTTAACTTTTTACCAGAAAAAGAATATTATCTATAATGTGTAATTTTCACGTGAATCACCAGATTATCATATAATAAATTCAGTTATTTATTCTCCATGGTTCAAAAATTTCCTTTAAACAATCATCAGAATTTTGATACATAGATTTTTTTAAATTTTAGATTCCCCTTTTTTGTGATTGAGTTACAGTTTTGCTTGTTGTACAATCATATTTGCAGTAGGACATTTTAATCCGGTATCACTTCCTGATAATTCTAGTGATGGAAAATGAACACATGCCTTGTCTTTTTGTAAATTGAAATATCGTCTCTTAAAAAACTGGAGGTGGAAAGTGGTCCTTGCAGGCATGAACTCTTTGATACTTTTATATAAACATTGTTTCTATTCCACAAAAACCTTTAGTTCACACATTTTGCTATATTCGAGCTATAACAACACATTTGCACATGTCACTCTCTCAAAGTCATTTTGAGTGAAGTTGTGCCTCTATATACCTCTGATATAGCAAAATGTGGTCTAACGAGGTTTAGAATTATGGTTGAGAGCTTTCAAATATTTTAATGACACATGCAGAAAAAAATCCTTACGCTACTCGGACGCGTTTATTCTTGATGTAGATCCTATTTTCTTTTCTTAAAAAAACAATCTAAAAGGCAACAAAATAAATCAGCCTACCTAACGTGATGTTTGCTTGGTTTCTAAGACCCTGAAGTACATACGTAGCCTACCTAACGTGATGTTTGCTTGGTTTCTAAGACCCTGAAGTACATACGTAGCCTACCTAACGTGATGTTTGCTTGGTTTCTAAGACCCTGAAGTACATACGTAGCCTACCTAACGTGATGTTTGCTTGGTTTCTAAGACCCTGAAGTACATACGTAGCCTACCTAACGTGATGTTTGCTTGGTTTCTAAGACCCTGAAGTACATACGTAGCCTACCTAACGTGATGTTTGCTTGGTTTCTAAGACCCTGAAGTACATACGTAGCCTACCTAACGTGATGTTTGCTTGGTTTCTAAGACCCTGAAGTACATACGTAGCCTACCTAACGTGATGTTTGCTTGGTTTCTAAGACCCTGAAGTACATACGTAGCCTACCTAACGTGATGTTTGCTTGGTTTCTAAGACCCTGAAGTACATACGTAGCCTACCTAACGTGATGTTTGCTTGGTTTCTAAGACCCTGAAGTACATACGTAGCCTACCTAACGTGATGTTTGCTTGGTTTCTAAGACCCTGAAGTACATACGTAGCCTACCTAACGTGATGTTTGCTTGGTTTCTAAGACCCTGAAGTACATACGTAGCCTACCTAACGTGATGTTTGCTTGGTTTCTAAGACCCTGAAGTACATACGTAGCCTACCTAACGTGATGTTTGCTTGGTTTCTAAGACCCTGAAGTACATACGTAGCCTACCTAACGTGATGTTTGCTTGGTTTCTAAGACCCTGAAGTACATACGTAGCCTACCTAACGTGATGTTTGCTTGGTTTCTAAGACCCTGAAGTACATACGTAGCCTACCTAACGTGATGTTTGCTTGGTTTCTAAGACCCTGAAGTACATACGTAGCCTACCTAACGTGATGTTTGCTTGGTTTCTAAGACCCTGAAGTACATACGTAGCCTACCTAACGTGATGTTTGCTTGGTTTCTAAGACCCTGAAGTACATACGTAGCCTACCTAACGTGATGTTTGCTTGGTTTCTAAGACCCTGAAGTACATACGTAGCCTACCTAACGTGATGTTTGCTTGGTTTCTAAGACCCTGAAGTACATACGTAGCCTACCTAACGTGATGTTTGCTTGGTTTCTAAGACCCTGAAGTACATACGTAGCCTACCTAACGTGATGTTTGCTTGGTTTCTAAGACCCTGAAGTACATACGCAGTAATAGTGTACTACATTGTTAGACTTGCTGGATGATGATTGAATTCCTGTCTGCAAATATATATGTTAAGACTTTTGTTGTCTTTGCGACTATTCGACCCCATATCTAGACTTCACAGAGCTAACTATATGTATAGCAGTTGATTGATACTTGACTTGCGTACTATCGTCTTTCAGAGCGCTGTTGGACACATTGCACATGAGCATATCGTAGACAGAACCTTTACGTGGACGGCTCCAGCTAATTCTGTTGGTCATATCTACTTCCGGTCAGTAAATATAAGACTTGGTTCCGAAGCCTGATTCGATTTGCCGTAATTGACTAAATACAATTACAAAAATTGTTTCATTTTATATTCATATAAAATATATATATATATATATTTAAGATCATTTTTAAGGAGTAACGATTATTTACACGTTCATTTTTTTTTTTAAATATTTCAATCGGAAAATGTGAGCTTATGATTTGTAACACTCGGACTTAAATCGGTAGAGAGAGAACCAAGAGACTGAAAATGTTATTTGTCTCTTACACAATAAATGTAAAGCTATATCTTGAGCCAGCATACACTGATCAAAAGGACCTACCTCTGAATGAGAACATGCATCTGATATCCCTACCTTACTGAAAAACGCCAAACTCAATATCAGGTTTTTGGGAATTCATGTTTTGTCTTTTCAGTTTGTTGTCGTATGAGTTACCGTTGCAGTCGACTTTTAATTTGTCCTAGACGTTTGTCATTCTTTGTTAACGGTATAGTGTTTCGATGTTTCTATTTTGTTTTACATGTTAGGTACAATCTACATTTCTGAACAATTCCTTTCCTTGTACAGGGCCACAGTTGCTAGGCGCCAGAAAACATTCTGGACACAAGTGACATCAAACTTCGTTCGGGACGCCTCGGAATCATCGTCTCCGAAAGTCTGTCCGATACAAACACGACGGAGCGTTGACGCGTGTACCAACTCGGCGATGCACTGGAATCTTTCACGTTGTTTACTCCTTCTCGTAATCATGGTCTCGGCGTCCAAGTTTTGGAACTAGCTCCAGGATAACTTGCCCGTACTGACTGGATGCAAAGAAGAAACCTTTTCTTATGATGAATAATTGTAAGGTTGTGACAGTATTTTATTTTCTAAACCACCTTGTGATATTGATACATATAATGAACAATTTAAGATATATTTCCAAAGATAAGAACTTTTTAAAGTCTATTTACTTAAATCCTTGGCCATGTATACCGCGACCAACATACTATTATTATGTTACACAACAGGTTGATTGTAATTATTTTATTTAACTTAAAATAATAGTTTAACAACCCATCACTGGTGCCGTAACATCGATTTTCCTTTGGGATTTTTCCAGGGGCGAAAATTTGTTTGGAAATATGTAGTTTTTGTGAACGACTATTTAAGATATCAATGAAATCATATCAGTTAAATGTTACAGAGTGTCGTTGCAGTTCATACCAAGAATTGTATATAGCTTAAAACATCCATACTACCATGGTCGCACAATAATCTAGTTCATTCTGTTTTTGGTTATTTTCACCGATAAGAATGATGTGAACACATTCTTGGTAGGCCTTATTTCATTTTAAATATTAATATTAATTGTTTCGCATTATTGCATTTACTTTTATTTCAAAACAGAGTGTTTCTTTTTTCAGAAGTATTTTCTGGTATGTATAGTACGTGGAGGAATGCTTAGAATTTTCGAAAATTAAATATAGCATTATCTTTTCCGTTTGTCAAATACATGATAATATATTTCTTAATGAGAATAGCAAAGTTAACTGTCAAAGCAGATAACATTATAAACATTAAAATGATGTTTGTATCGCAAAAATAAAAGGAATCCTTTTCAAGGAGATCGAGATGTCGACCATAGACTTGTCTATGGACTTCATCAACTAGCGTCCCTCGAAATTCTTTGTTGCATTTGTCTGTCAGAATATTTGAAACATACATCTGTATATATTGACATAATCATTTCATTTTTTATTGTTCAGTATTTAGGTTATAAAAAAAATAATAACCTGCATATATATATAGATATGATAGACCGTACATGATAGGTAGGTATGTACAACAAGATAAAATCGTATAAACATTCATTGGGTTGTTGACGCATTGAGTGAAAACAAATAAACAGGGAAATTGACACATTTGTGTTGTTTTTCTGCCGTCCATGAGATCATGAAGCATGCTTACACTACCATCCATATCTCAAATATAATTAACCCAAAACAATCTGTTGAAAAACAAAGCAGTTATAAGTCAAAACAAAAAGGCGTATTTACAAGGTGTACATAAACAGCATACCTTGATTTTAGCATCGGAAAAAGGAGAATTTCAATTTTATTTCATTATCTCAGGACCTGGTGACTAAAGGATAAGCTTTGTTTATTTTACTATGATTAAGACAATATCAATACGTCAACTTTGAACTCAATGTGTTGTTGATTTACTAAACACTGATATAATTATATAGCTACATGATATATATCTGTGACTACATTATCCCATTCATTAGTAAGTTTAAGAGTTAATCCACTGAAAACACGGTATTGGAGAGCATCGACAGAAACATACATATTAAATGTTATATAACACATTTATAATGCATGTCATACGAACATGGAATAAATGTATATATAATACATTTTAATAAAACATACATAAAAAATATCGTGAACATAATATATATATAACATTTTTTATATAAACATAGACTATATAAGTTGCAAACGTTATATCAACAAACAGTAAAATAAGATTGACGTTACGTAAATATGTCTTTCATATATCACTCACTCACTATCTCATGGAGGTATATAAAACATTATTACTCAACCGTGATTTGAAAATTAAACAAAAAAGTCCGTGAGTTGTTCGGAAAACGTTACGTTTCAAGAACAAATGAAAGATTAATATATAGACCCTTGAATAAGTACAAGGCTTTTAAGTCCAGGTGTTACGAACGATAATATTCATAAATAATATTTTCAATTGACATTGAAAACAATATGATAAATATAATTTTACATCATTTTAACAACAGTAATTTTAACGGCAATTCTAGTAATATATTTACATACGACACAAAATGCACTTATTCTAAACATCGATCGTTTCTCTGCCTCGATGAATATTCAAACTGTAGTCATTTTCTGTATTTTTTTTCTAACTTTATTTATTCAATACTTTGTATTCATTATAAGTCACCAGTTCCATCAAATCACCAGTCACTATTGACTGTCATCTGCTTTGAGGGGATAATAATAATAATATTATATTTGGCTAAAAATTCACGAGATATATATTTAAGCGTGAACGGAATCGAGAAGACACGATCATGAAATTAAATAGTCCTCTTTTTTTTTTAATTCGTCATTAGTTAACATGGAGAATTAAACTTCGTTTTTTCTTTTAATTTTGCGAATTAAAATCTTGGTGAATATGTTACTGTAATAACAATCGTGAAGTACAAGTATCCACGAAATTGAAGTGATTTACAGTGTACAATATATAATATAAAATGTCCTTCGGTTATCTCCTTCAGGTAGTGGACTTCTTGTTCATCTGCACATATTGGCTCAAAACCTTGTAACAGAACTGATATTGCTCCTGGAAAATAAAGAAACAAGAAAAGTATTAACAAAACTCATAAATCGTATGGGGTATAACTTGATATTTGTATATGCATTCGTTCAATTTCAATTCTGATATCATTTAAACATACTTGATTGACGAAATGTCATATTTGATACCTAGTTATTTATGCATTAACTATGGAAAATGTGCATTATTTGAACCTGAGAAAGTGATTTTTACCGAGACGAAATCAAGGTCAATAGTTTTTAGGTCCACACCATCTTAATATTCATCAAAATAACAATCATAAATGTTATTTTGGAATTTAATTAATACGGTTCTTATCATTAAACAAAGTGGAACAGAAGAAACCGCCAAACGGTCTGCATTTGGAGAGAATGGAGAGGACTGTGACGTGACGTTTCAAGTGACGTCATTAAGAAATGTTGATTTGCAATTTCTCAAAAGTAACACCTAATCAATATCACAAAACACCGATCTCTATGTCGTTATTATCCCCCTTATGAACATGTTGTAAACTTGTGTTATCTATAAACTACATTTACAGAAATTTATCTACAACAATAATTATCCACGAACAAAACCAAAAATTTTAAATTCTCGCGCATTATATCTTGACCTTGTCAGAAAGCAAAACCTGTGATTTGCTTTTGACGTTTGACCTATGTGACCTCTTTGACCTATATCGTAGAGCATGCACGCATGTTCGTGACATTTCTGTACTCCAAGTTGAAAGAGTTATTGTTAAAATTTCTTTTAACTACTGTGACCTATTGTTTTCATTTCCATGCAAAAAAACATAATAACAAATCCTGCTGCTTAGTGTATTTTAGAGGTACTCACAAAAGACTGAATTGCGCCCGGTTTTCGAATTAGAATCTCCCTCACTATATCGAATACGTCCACCAGTTGGTCCACTGATACTTTCTGTATAAGGGATGCTACTACACAGAACGGTACACATTTGGTTTGTCCGTCCCTGAATTACACAATGTAATCAAACTTGACTCAACAGCAACATAATTAATGCATAGCAATAAATTGCATAACGTGGTTTTTGTTGTTTTTAGAATCTAAATTGTACTATGGTAAATCGAATTTCACTAGACTAATTCTTTTCTCTGCTAATAATTGTTTCAATTTTAAGTCAAATATGCTTCCTTAACATAGTTATTGCTTACGCGACTTAATTACTTTTAACCTGATTGAGAGTAGGGTTTGTTAATTTAGATATGCCGGGTTAAGTTTTTAGGTTTTACTTTTCAATGAGACAGGAACGATTTTGGGTACAAATGAATAATGACTGTTTTAAATAAGTAGGCAAAGGATGAAGAGGCAGTACAGTTTATACGGACGTGTGAACAAAAGATCACACAGTTTCGAATCGCATAGGTAGCAGTTAAGAGGTGTCGATTAAAATCAACAGTCAAATCCGGTAATAACAATATAGGACACTTACAATGTAAGTCATGAGGAATACGTCTTGGGAGTAACAGTCTTTGATTTCAAATATTTTAACATTGAAATGAGTATGTTTTTCTATGAATGCAGCCAAACTGTTCCCTAGCACTATTGAAATGTTGACAACGTAAAGGTTTTTTCAGTTTGTTACCCCGGAGGAAGGAAAATGGTGTCATTGTAAAGATCTATTTCAGTTTGTATCCCCAGAGGAAAAAACTTATGTTCTCCATTCATAGAAGAGAACATTTCTTCATGTTGTCGTATTATTATTAAATGCGACGTCATTGAATTGTTGAACTTTCAAATGTCGATCTAGACCTTCGATGATAACGATACAGTAAAGTTACATATTTTCGCGTTATTAAATGCGTTGATACCAAGAGATGCACTCATCCATTAGTGTGAATGTGAAAACACTGACATGTGAAAACTTGATTTCACTGAAATTAATACGTTTACGATATATTTTGCGAGGTTAAATATTTTCGCGTTACTTTCCGAAAATAGTTTATCGAGAATTTCTGTATCTTTGTTCGTTTTCAAAAAAAATCCTTTTCAACATAGTGGCTAAAAATGAAGATATTTTCAGTATCATGTATCTGTGTTAATTTGTATCATACTCAATCACTGGAAAAACTAATAGCTTTCTGTTTCGTTGCTTTGGTTACGTGTATTCACACATGTCATAATAACTATGATTTTGTAAATGGTGTAAACAATGTCTTATCTTACTTGCAGACAATAGTTGTAGGGTTTTCATCATCGTCTTCTCTCGCAAGCTCTGCAACACGTATCAACTTCTGAGTGGACGTCACCCCCTTCTTGTCTTCGGTACCAAAAGACAGATACACTTTGACCTTTCGTCCCCTTTCTCCCTAGAAACGAAAAGTTGTATTCATCAAGTTTAGTTTACTTATGTACCTGGACAAGTTGTTTTACATGATATTAAAAGAAGTATTTTTATAAGCAGGTGCATTATTAACACGTGTCACTATGCTTAAGTATTTGGCAACGTAGAAAACACCTGTAACTTACACCCGTAACTAAGTCACAGGAAATCATTTAATGGTGAATTATGAAGATTTAATATTTGAGATACGAAAGACTCGCTTTTATCTAACTTATTAAAGTTTTCGTGGTTATAAAGCTGTAACAATTTCGAATCAAAGATCTATTATATAAGTTATACAGAAGAGCTATCGCGGACAATATCTGAATTTATAATCGACTGGAAAAAAGGACACGCGGAGAAACAAAGAAAAGGAGAAAACGTCATGGACCAATCCTATGCCCACTCATTATGGGGGTTTTTTGCGGAAAATACGAAAATATCGATCATGCATTTTATAGTTTACCTGTTTCTGAAGGGATACTGTCATCTCTGTGATTCCACTATCAGAGGACCTCAGGCCTTGGGACTCCAGCAAAAATGGTCCAATACTCAAAGGCTCTCCTAGAGGTACAATGTCCATGTTCTGGAAGTCAAAATGGAAAGAAAATTACATTAGGACAGTGTTATTGATGTAGCTACACTCTCTCTGATGCAGATAAAAAGGACCTTCAGGCGCCCAAAATAGCAGACACTGCTAGACACTTTATTCTGCCACCAATTGCCAAGTGAGATTTTGGCATTATCAAAGTATTTTTCATTGTACCGTAGGTGAGGTGGCAGATATAAACGAGTTGCATTATATAGTCTTACTATATTGTCATTATATGACATAATGTCGTGTAAACGTTCATGCTGCTAGACTACTATATTATAAAGATAGTTTGAATATAAGGGCAGAAATTTATTATATGTGTGTCTAATAACTTATATTTCAAAAACATAGTTCATCAAGATAATTTTACTTTATTCATACATTAACTTTGTTACATTCGTGTGACTGAAGTCCATTAACTGCATTTCGAATCTTGTGTTAGAATGACCTCCCTTGAACTATTTAATTTAGCAGCATCTAATATTTGAGATTACTTTTGTAAATTAAAAAAAAACGTAAATGTTCCCTTGTTAGTAACACATTTGGAAAGAAGATTTATAAAAAAAATAATCTAGCAAATGTCCCTTAATAATAACATACATCTTCTACTTTATCAAGAATGACGATTGTCCGCGAGTTGTAGTCGTACACCATGCTCCAAAAGTCCACCAGTGTATGCCGCAGAGGGATTTGTGTCGCCAAGTAACCCTCCATGTCCGTACAGGTCTGTGTGACAGGAAACAAAAATACTGAATGTAACGAGATAAAAGATATAAAAAAAACTGTAAAAATATAAAATATGTTTTCAGATATGAAACTCTTTGTGGCAAAAGATATGGGTCAAATTATGCATTATATTGCACGTCTCAAAACTGTATTTGATGTACCACATTCAGGATATGGTAACATTGATAATACTTACCGGAAGTAGGACAGCATTTATATAGTCACCATTTCCGGTGTCGTGGGAAAGTAGGGGTGCCCGATATTTGTCACCTTGAAACAAAAGTACAAACAGAGTAATACATTGAGGTATACCTAACTAGTTAAACTTCGTCCATTATAGTTAAAGAAGATATTCCTGTATTCTTACATTGGAAACATATTTATATTGCAGTAAGCAGAAGACACTTGCTCTACCAGAATACATACCATTGTTCTCTTTTTTTTGTAAATAGTTTGCCCTAGTTTTTAGTTAAAGTTGCGATTTTGTTGTCTCTTCTGTATCTCTCGTAGATTTGTTTAATCGAAGCGTTAACATTTTATACCTGGAATTAACTTAATAAGGAAACGTTTCATACTTTGGGGTGAAACTCACAAGGTAAATTGTTCATACTTTGGGGTGAAACTTACAAGGTAAATTGTTCATACTTTGGGGTAAAACTTACACGGTAAACTTTTCATGCTTCTGTTCTTGCACACGTTTTGGACAGACAATGCAGAGGAATATTCTGAACTCTCATATTGAGGGCGATTTTTACGTAAAATCTGAAACATAAAATTTCTCATTTAAAGTAATACATACATAAACTGCGTAGATATAGACGTGCATTAAAAGTATATGTATTTAGCCAATGTGCTTTCAGTTAATTAAAATCTTTTGAGGCGTCAGCTTAACTATCGTTCATGTCAGAAAGCATCCTCCCACCCCGCTCCCCAATTAATGGCACTGACTTGAAGGGCAAATAGATCGAGATAACGAAAAAACAACATGAAATATCCGTAACGATATCATACAAAAGATGTTTCTAACATTCTAACGTCATAAGTGTTATTGTCTCCCGTTTGCGTACATTTAGTGACAATCAATAATCACAGTGAAGTCTATACGTATGTATCAGGAAGCGGATATTTTATCTAATAGAAACCTAGGCTGAACTCAAATTGATTATTTCATATTTTTTTAATACGGAGGAGGTATTTGATTATATGTATGATAACAATCTACCTCGAACTCCTGTTTGAGTCTGTGTGTGTTCTCCGATACGTCCGGGACAAGATTCCGGGGGATGGATGTGTCCGGGTACGTCAGACCTACTACCAACGAATCGTACAAAGCCACGTACTGATCCTGGAGGGGGAAAAGGGAGAGAAATAGCTCAATATTCATATATTAATACTTTATTCCAGTTGTCTTAAATTTAGAAGATCACCCAAATCCGCTAGAGGAATGTCAATCTTTCTTTCAAAGTCTTGCGAAGTGTTTTTCAGACAAATTTGAACAAATCGTATATAGCAGTCGTTACTTTCATGAATTCAAGTCCTTGCCTATACGTCGTTCGAAAAACAACCGTAAAGACAAGAAGACGCAAAATTCAGCTACATATGTATTCACAGTATATCGATATAACTCACATCAGATCGCCGAACTTAGTATAAGAAAAATTATACGATCCATTTATCTGATGCAAATAAGTACAAAAGTCATTGCCGCCATGTTTAATTGACTTTAACAATGAACAACGCTAACATATATGGCCCCTAAAATCGGTACGTCTAAAGTATGAACGTACGAAATTGTTAAATATAATACAATGAGTCTTTAATTATGCTAAATCTCATTGATAGAAAAGAGGTAAATTAATTCGTGACTGACGATATGTTCCGATAATTTCGAATATTGTGAGCAGTACCTGATTCTGCACCATACCAGTGCGACAAGACCTCATTTTCACCACGTAGTTGTATACATCGATCACGCCAGTGCGGCGTCCATGTTTGAGAAGAGCGTCAAGGGCTATAAATGTTCCGGTACGGCCAATTCCTGCACTGTATTGAAGAAATAAAACATAAATATATATTACAGCTTAAAAATGTATGTAACTGAAAAGTTAAATTTGTCATGAAATCGGAGTTAAATCTGATTTCTGTTCCCAAAACCTTCACGAATATCTTTTCTTGTTTTTAGATGATCATTTGTTTAATCATGCAAAGTTCGTTATTCCTGCTGTTCATCCTGGTTTATTTAAGTCGACCCAGTCGGACTGGGCAGACATCCTGTCTTATCTAAGTCGACCCAGTCGGACTGGGCAGACATCCTGCCATATCTAAGTCGACCAGTCGGACTGGGAAGACTGGGCAGACACCTGCCCGTATGCCTGGCCGCGGGGGCTTATTACGGATGCTCGTGTGCATACTCCCATACTGATAATTCATGTGTTATGACACATGTACATGTTGGTGTGTGTGTGTGTGCATGCGGGCATCAGTGGTGGGCCCCAGTGGTCAGACTGAACCCTAACAATCTTAAAATGATAAACTCACTCTTAACCTATTGTAAGTACCTAGCAGAGGTTCCTGGGCAGGAAGGGGGAGTATACATGTATGTAATAATCAGATCCCAATATGCTTGCGTTACATATACACAACCAGAGTACCTGTGGCCCGTACTACATTGTCATATTATACTCAGAATTAATAACATTAGCTATATCCGCCATGTAAGTCAAAAAATACTTCTTCTTGCTAATGACATTGAGCTTAATCCTGGTCCCATGCAAAATATAGAAATCACCCATCTCAATGTTAGGTCTGTAAGGAACAAACTTGATATAGTTGATTCCGAGCTGCACCTAAATGACATTATTTGCTTAACAGAAACGCATCTAACACCAGATATTCCCAATAATGATATTATGCTAGACTCATTTCCAAATGAACCATACAGAAAAGATAGACAAAATAGGATGGGGG